CGACTTCATGAAGAGAAAAAAAGTATTTGTTGGATCATGTTTTTTTCTCCGTCCACATTATTTTCCTCGTTCACCTTTGAATTATAAATGTTTCACGATATGATATACTAACAATTGAATATCAGGTAATGTATTATTATTCTAGGGTACAACTACTATTGTAGTGAACGAAAACACAAAGGAGGACAACTAAATGTATTTGAACACAAAATAACAGAATTTCTCAATGAAATCTGAGACCATAAAGTAAATACTTCATTTGTTAAATATCAATCAGTTGTCCCAAACTTGACTGTTCCTTTTGCAAATGTCAGTCAATCGTCTCAGACTTCACTGTTCCTTCATTTCCATAGCAATCACTCAGTGTCTTATTCTTTTTTTCTTTGATCTTAACCTTCTTCAGCCAGGTATTCCACTTTCGATTGATGATACATACTACTTATATCAACATCAGTAGCACACACATCACGCTATTACTACTAGCTACATCATGCAGTTTTATAGACATTTTAATCTGTATACTGTTTAGTTTTCTTATTTTCTTCAACTTTTAAATATAATAAATATGATCACGAATAGTTTATTTAAAAACGAATAAGAATCAGTATTTCATTCTATAATGAGTGATTAGATTAGCTTCATATTTGAATTTCAGTGGGCGTTTCGAAAAAAAATTGAGATTATATTAAAGAGAGAATGAGAAATAGAGATAGAGGGGTATGAATGTAAATTCACTGACACGAACATGTTACGTTTAGTAATGATTTTTATTAGCTATTAGTTATTGAAGTATGGAGAAATCCCGTTCTGATTTGTGATTGAGTAGAACATTTTATTTTATACCAGAAATGATGCAGGGAAGGAAGGAGGGAATCAGACGTTATAAGTTTCGTTTGGGTATATATATAAAGATTTTAATGAAACAATATGATATGATTTGATTGTATAATGACAATTATTATTTAATTCCACACTCATAATTTAAAATGTGAAAGTTGATTGATGAATAAGTGAAGGCGCAAAATTTTTTACTGACCCATTTCGAACTACATATTTCAAAACTATTTGCTTGTTTGCTATTAATCTAATATATGATGAACAATTCGTCCTATATCAGACTAGTTAGCCAGATGTACTTTTATCTTTGGGTTGATGTTCACATTAAGACTTTCAAGTAATACTTATAGATTCAAATATCAATGTATAGTTTGCTAAGATCTGGAATTTAGATAGCCATCGACCTATTCAATGGGTATGATGTTTATTTCGTGGAGCATGGTTATCTTTTTTATTTTAATCCATGAGATGTATAATTTATCATTTGGCAAATACTTAGGTATTCGCTGATACTCAGTAGATGATGAAACTTCACAGTGTGTACTGGCAAATTTGAGTCTAAAATTTAATTTATAGCTGTATGATATTCTGTGGAGTTTTTATTTTATGCGTATTTTAAGTCTAACAGAATATGATAAACTATGTTGAAATAATACCTTATTAACTTCATTTTGTGGCAAGGACTGGAAAAGCAAGAGCCGCATCCTTCTAATCGAATAACATATGGAACTTAAAACAACTGTCAGTCAACATCAAAGTTAGTATCTTCAATACGAATGTCGAAACAGTCCTACTGTACTGAACTGAAAAGTGGAGAATTTCTATGATCATCGTCAAAAAGGTACAAGTATTTATAAACAATTGTCTACGCAAGATACTGAATGTCTGTTAACCGGATGTCATTAGCAACAGCCTAATGTGGGAGAGGACAAACCAACTTCCAGATGAGTAGGAAATTAGGAAAAGACGTCGAAAGTGGATAGAACACACATTACGGAAATCACCAAACATCATCACGAGGTAGGCACTAACTTGGAATCTTGAAGGGAAGGGGAAAATAGAAAGGCTGAAGAACACACTACGTCGGGAATTGGAAGCAGATATGAAAAGGATGAATTGCAACTAGAAAGAACTAGAAAGGATTGTCCAGGACAGTGTTGGATGAATAGTGCCGATGGGTGGCCCATGCTCCTCCACGAGGGATAACAGTAGTATATTTGTATATTTGCACTAGTTAAACTACGAATTCTCCTCATTATGTTCACAGCTTATCTAAAACTAGAAATAGAGATCATTCAATTTCTGTCAGTCACAGTAAAGACATTATTTGGTTGAGTGTTTTCCTTCAAATTCAGTAGTACACTGAGGTTACCAGTGAATACTTACTGTTTATCAGTTGACTAATTAATAGATTCCTGAAAAAGTTCATTATTTCCTTTATCATCTGTCTTGATTATTTTCTCTATTCAACGTAGTACGTTTAATAAAAATTATACGAGACAACAAAGGTTTATTTCATAAGATTTTAGGTTTTTGATTTTCGTTACTATAAATCTACTACTTATTTGTATAATTATATTTCATACAATACTGTTTTCACTGTTACCAACATCTTGGAAAGTTTTAGGAAATCAGTTAATTTCGTTTCACACAATTCAAATGTTTTGTTCATATCTTGTTGATATGATAAACAGTTTCCAAGATCTGATTTCTATCACTATATCACCAAACAGTGAAAATATAAAAAAAATTCTAAACTTTCAATATCATCAAATACGTTAATAGTTTAATTTTCTTATTGTGATCAAGTAAACTTTTGTTTACACGAAAATTATCGATTTTATTTTGAAAATTAATTAACAAGCAGTTTTGCATAGCAATTAATTTACTCGGGATTAAAATAATTTAGTTCGTTTCTTTTTTTTTCTAATCGTTTCATTATTTACATTTATTTGACATCGTATTTGTAAGTATTAAATATTTCGTTAACTAGTGACAATGGGACAATTTGTTAACTAGAATCTGATAAAAACAAAAAAAAATTTTTTTGAATAAACTGGATAGCAACAAATCTATTCTTAATGTATAATGTCCTATATAGTCATAAATAATTAGAACTAAGCAAACTGATAATAACATTGTTCTTGGTATATAAATTGTTATACAACCATATTGATCTGTTTGTATATATATATATATATATATATATATATATATATATATATATATATATATATGTATTTATAATCATCAATGGAAATTTTCTTATATGAATATATTAACATAAATATTGGTAATAAAATATTCAACCCTAATGAATGGAAATAGCTATCAGAAATAATAGACTAATTATTGTCAATACCATTCCATCTATTCTCTTGTCTCTCTATTCAATAATCTACCATGTACGCATCTATTTGATTGTATACATATCTATTCATAGACAAATTTACATGATTTGTAGGTAGTCTAAAGAAAAAAAATGTCATTAAGGATTGATGAAATACTTATAACTGGGCGGATTATATTAATGATAATAAGAACAACAATAAACAATTTAATCAGTTGAATGATGAACAAATGACAATAATTACAAAAGGTATATTGGTCATTAAATATAAAATTGAGGTTAATAATAATATAATTGAATAAGAAATTGATTTATTGAATAGTGTATGGTGGAAAGAATAAAATGGATCATTGTTTAAATTACTGTCTAATTAAATGAGAGTTGATTTTTTGACCAGTAATTTATGCTTATCAACTATTAACCTGTTCATTTGTATCACAATAATAGTAATAATAATTTAGCATTAAGTTCTTTTGTCATCATTGTATCATTTCAAAAAGAGGGTTCTTGACAAGCCTTTTTTTTCCTAATTTTATTGGATTAGTTGATAAAGTAGATTTTTCTGTCAAACCTAGAAGTAATCTACATTAGGACTTATAAATTCATCGGAGTAATATTGAACAAATTTCAAAATCATTCTAAATACAAACGAATATCAACTAAATAACTAATGGGATTGTAAAGAAGATTTGTAGCTCAGGTGGATGATTTAGGTGCTTTTTTTCTCTCAGCTGGATAGTTTAATCGTGGAGCTTTCATCGTTCTTCTGACATAACATCTTCAGCACAAACTTCAGGTAGAAGAAGAAGTTCAAACACTTCACTTCCATTTGAAGTTTGTACTGATGATGTTGTTCAGAAGAGTGATGAAAACACCAGGACCAAAATATCCAGCTCAGAGAACAAAGCTCCACCTAAATAACTAATGACAAAAAAAAACATCAGATAGCTATTTCATTCCAGTTTACAATTCTTTAATTGTACAGGTCACACGAAAACACCTTAGGCTAGTAATTTAGTAGTCTCAATGTGTGTGTGTTCGTTAAGATATCTGAAGGTTTGTGAATTATATCCGTGAAAGAATACACAGTGCTTACTATGTAGGATGATGACATACAGTAATTTCTGTTTTTCATCAGTTCACAAGTTGATGTTTATTTGATGTTAAGAATCATATGCTCAAGTCATTTCTATTTGAAAAGTCACAGTCTTTTCTTGCAGATGAACAATCAGATTTTGTGATAAGAAGCTAGAAATTTTGCGTAAATTAGATATTTGTAAAATGGTACACGATAGCGTCATAAAGTAATTCCAAAAGTTAACATTATCACCACAAAATTTGATGCAACTCATTTAAAGATATAACTACAAACCAATAAACCACCAACCAATGTTATTTCTGACAATCTCATTTACTAAAGCTATAAAGTGTCATCTTCAGTTACACTGACCTCGTGAAGCGTGCTTATCCAAAATTTATCCGGTAAGGTTATTTAAAAATGGGTTCTATTGCTTAAGACCTTATCATCCCTGATCATCTAGCTTTGTTGGAGTTTTTATTTAAAATTATCAACATAGATAAACTGGTTCTAAAGGAAGTAACAACCCTATGGTAAATCATCATTTCACGCCTAGTCTATATGTTCAGTAACAGTATCCAAACTCTTGTTTCGTTATTATCCAAGCATCCTATAGTTAGTATGTTTTTGACATGTGTTCGCCTTCTCTTTGTTTGTTTAATATTCATAAAGATGAAAATCATCTTTCATATATCTGTTTATCATTCTTATTACATTTTGTCTACCTCGTAACTTTATTCGATACTTAAAACCTGAACTTAACTTTTGGTAACCCTATCAATAACGCAATACTTTTTTGTCTGATTACAGAATACCAGGTGTAAAATAACTAACTAAACAGTTGTACGACTTAATCAATTGATTTTTGCTGAAGTGTATATCACCCATTAATGCAACGGTCTTCTGTCATTGAACACTTATTTAATTTGACAGTTGAATTCATGAGTTGTTCTGTGTTAGGTGTGGAACAGTTATCCACCTCAGACAATAGATGAATGGTTGTGTAAGATCATGGACGGACTAAAAGTAGACATTGACATCGTTGGATGCCGGTTCAGTGGTCTGGAGTCAAAGTGTTCAAGCGCAAGACCTAGAGGTTCTGAGTTCAAGTTACATGTGCGGGATCGTGGATGAGCACTGCTGAGAAGTCGCATACTATAACGAGTCGAAAATTCAGTGCTTCCAGATTTTCTGTGGTGGTCTAGCTTAGATTGTCTCGTGATAATAATGAATAGTTATCAACCAGAAAATGATTTAACAATATCTTATCTTTTCAGTCATTCATTGCTAAGTCAAAACAAGTTTGAGATTATTTGCTTTATCCAATTTTATTTCACTAACGTTTGTTATCTGGTCAACTTTTTGATTGATTCAAAAAAACTTGTCATTTTTCTTCTCAATTTCCATGACTATTCACCTTTGAATAAAAATAATTGGATATAAAAATTACGGAAGTGAATTATTACTTTTTAAAGAATCGATATTTGTTCGTATTTGATGAAAACAGGTTATTAATATGAACCATGTTAATCATATCATATATGAGTATTCACTATCATTACTTATTTCACTTGTCGATGACATTATATATAATACTTGACAACAGATTAACAATATTAAATCACGTATATAATGACAACTATTTATGGAGAAGTTAATATTTGAATACAGTCATTCACTTGTTACGATCATCTGTAAATATAAGAACTATTAGATGTGAATTTGTGGAATTCCTTGTAAATAAATGAACATTATGTTAACTCTGAATTATTGAGTCTTTTCATGTAAATGTATAAATGAAGATTATCAAATGCTTAGTCATATGATGATATGGTTGTTATACAATAAAAAGAACCCTGTTATTATTGACAGAAAAATTTGTCATGTTACCAAGATAAAAATTCAAGTTTTCAGAGTTTGAATACTTCAATAATAGTTAATGGATTATTTGGTTCTTTTAAATATAAGACTTAATCTTTTACTTATCGGATTTAGAAAAATGTAAATTAAAAACAAAACAATTTCAATGACAAGATGTGTTTTTTTGTAAAAAAAAATATTTATTATACAAATGTTAACTTACCAAGTTCTGCTGTACGAAATTTTACTAAATCACTTGGTAATGATAAACCAGCTACTCGACTAACTGCATGAACTTGAGCTGAATATAAAGTAAATGGACTAAGACCAGTGAGATTATAAACAATCATTGAATTTTCTTGAGAATACTTTGTATCTAATATATTAAATGAATCTTCTGATTTCATTTCAGATGGATCGATATTTGTTATTTGACGACGGCTAAGTTCACCTAAACCACCATCATCAATTTGTAAACTAACAGTGTATGAATCAACACCAGATGATATACTTGGTGGCCATCGTAATACAGCATAAGTACTACCAATAGGTCGTGCATCTAGACTTGATGGTGGAGCAGGGAGTTCTAAAAGAATGTAAACACAATTGAGAAGATAAAATCTTAAGTAATGTTTGAATTGAAAAGTATATACAAAACGGAAGTTTCATCTAACAGGCATGTGAACTGAAAATCTCTCTACGATCATCAGTTTATTGGAGATTGCAGGTATGCCTTGATGACGATGGGTGCCAATTGTCATGAAGTCTATGATAAACAAGATTTCCTACAATCTACCTTCAACCATGAATCGTCTAAACTAAAAACCATTTTTTCAGTGTTTGTAAAGTTTTCCACTGGAAAACTCATCCAAATATTTCTTACAATTAGCTGCGGGATAGTTGCACTATCATTAAGTATAAATTATTTTCAATAGTTGAGATCATGAGTCAATTGAAGCTAGAACAACATGGAAAACCTCGAAGTACTGGACGGCCGCTACGTCCTGTTGTGGGACTCCTCGGCAGTGCGCATCCACGACCCCGCTCGCAGGATTTCTAATTCTTTCTATAGCTCAGTTGCACACATCATTTTCATCAGGATCTGATACAGTATGATAGGTCCTGGATTCGAATCTCACGAGGCGGGATCATGGATGCGCACTGCTGAGGACTCCCATACTAGAACGAAACGGACATCCAGTGCTTCCAGGTTTTTCATGGTAGTCTAGTCTCAATTGACTTATGATCTCAACTATTGAAATCAGTAAAACCTTCAAAAAACCCCTTCTGATAAATGATTTTATTGTATTATTATATCTGTTGATATATTTTTCTAGGCAAACAGAGTTAAGATGATACAAAATGAATCATTATATCACCTTAGACTATACATACTAAATGCAGTATATTTGCAAAGGTAACTTTGTAAGCTGTTTAAATTCATATTTAAGATTGATTTCAATAATCTTCTTTAGGTAGTAATTAATCATTCAGTCAATAGTAAAGGATTAAATGGATTAAACTGTCTGAATTATTTCTTATCTGAACAATTTTAAAGCTGAATTCAATACTTCTTATTTCATGTTGATAGTCATGTTTCTTATATATTAGAATCACTGTCGCTAATATTTATTATTCTTATATACTTTACCATTATTGAGAAATATTTCACAGCTTCCGATTATGAAACCCTGACTCTTGTCGTCAAATAATCTCATTACTTTGAATGAAAGTTACTATTGTTTTAAGATTCACATAAGAAATCAATAATTTATGGTACAACCATTTTTTTAAAACCGATGTGTTATAGTGATTGCACTAGCTTAGGTTTGAATTTTAAGCAAACATATTCACAGACACAGAAGTTTTATGTCGGAGTATGTTGTTCCCGTATAGAGATTCCTTAGTTGAAAGTTCTAAAGAACCGACTCAGAGAATTTGATAAGGCAATATATTGTCACTTTGCGACTAGTAATCACCAGTTCCATCGGAATTGGAAAATGCATGTTTAGCTTATATATTAGAAAAATGATCGGAATGTAGCAAAGAACAATGTATGTTTGACAATTATATGAAGTTTATAACCCTCAGCTGTTTATATTTTCGAAAATGACAGATAAATAGTGGATTGTATTTTATCAAGAATTTCTGCATAGATCATTTGAATTAGATGAGGCAACCTAAATAGACTTTTAATGTTATGGATATGTTTAAAATATCTATTGATTTGATTGCGGAGTTTAGCTAAATTTTGTGATGGTTTTGTAAAGGAACTGCTTCTCGACATTGAGAACGTTAGTTTTCATGCATTTGAATTTAGTATTTTCGTACTCTATGTAGACCGTGGTGCTTTTATGTTGTTGAGTCAAAACCCGGTAATCAATAATTTGATTTAGATACATTTCAGATATTGCCCTATTCTTATCTAATATGACCGACGGATGATTGACAACGTAAAATACATGATACAGGATTAATTGCTCATCAGATGTTCACTGTCAGTTCAATAGAAAGAGTTGTCTTAAATAATATTTGCATAAATATTTAGGTTATTAAATGTCAACTTACGCTTTACAATGACACTAACATTTCTTCTTACTAGACCAAGGCCATTTTTTGCAATACAATTATAACCGGATGATTCTGTGATATCTGTTAAACGTAGTGTTGCTTCGTGTGGTTGTGGCTCTGTTAAAGCACGTTCAGATAGCATAATTGGTCCTGAAACTCTTGGTCCAGCTGGTGTACCTAATGTTGACCACCAAACCATAGGTATCGGAAAGCCTCCAGCTCGACAAGTCAAATTTGTACCTTTACCAGAGGATACTTCAACTTTTTCAGGCATTTCATTAATTGTTGGTGGGAACTGAATGCCTATAAATAGTCAATGAATATTTAAAAGAGCATTTTAACTAATAGTTTCTATATTATACTTACTAATAAATGACATTGTGAACCATATAAAAATTTAATAAGCATATCATTCAAGCAAAACAATCCAAGCTTGCTTACTGTTTTACTTAGGATATCATGAAAATTAATAAATACAAATGCGTGCAGACAATCATTCCAGATTTTGTGTTTGAGTGTGTGCTTGATACTTTACATGCAAAAAAAGTAGATTATAGCTACGAAGGATAGTGCGAAAAAATGATGCCAAATTAATCTTTTGAGTAGCTTATATGCAAACCACTACTTTAAAACTGAGAGTTAAAATGAAACTATAGTTTACAGTAATAGTATTCTCCAAGTGATTTACTTTTTTATGCAATTAATATTCAGTATGTACTATAATTAATAATCATGTTTGTACTGTTTACCAAATACACTAAGCCTATTAATTTCTAATTCCTTCTACAGGTCAGTGGTGCACATCATTTTCACTAGGATCTGATGCAGTATGAAAGTGTTAGTATATTCATCAGGAACACAATAGTATAACTTAGTTCAAAGATTTCTATTCATCGTTTATATGCTATGAAGAAGCCACTCATACTCAATACACCTTTATATTCCTTCAAAGCTTGCATAATACGAATTCATCTAGGATCGACTGTTAAATTAATGAAATATGTGGAAATGAGAATGGGATTGAATTTGTTTTGCTAATAACGGATGCCTTCAAAAAAGTACGGATATAATACATGGTGCAAATGAAATCTAAGTCTAAAATGAATCTGGATTTTCAAAGTCATAGTCGATCCTAGCTCAAATTACCTGACTTTTGATAAGCCCAAGAACAATAGTAATGAATCATATCGCTATTCATAACTGTTGACAGTGTTGATTTGAATTTAGGTTAATCTTATATTTTAGAAGACGTTTTGTGGATACTATAGTAATTTTAATAGTTTAGATCATGAGTCAATTGAAGCTAGACCACCATGGAAAATCTGGAAGCACTGGACGGCCGTCACGTCCTGTTGTGCGACTCCTAAGCAGTGTGCATCCAGGATCCCGCCTCGCGGGATTCGAACACAGGACCTATCAGTCTCTCACGTGAGCGCTTAACATCTATACCACTGAGCCGGCATCCAGCGGTGTTGATGTCTAATTTCAACTAACCCACGAAATTGAGATACACATCTACCAATTTTCTGGAGTTCTGGTTAGAAGCGGTGACCAATGGAGTTCCACTGGGTCAGTTGTGATACATCAACTCACTGAAGACAATGATGGAAGTGTCACTCAATTTCATGGATTAGTCGAAGTTAGACATTAACACCGTTGGATACCGGCTCAGTGGTCCAACGATTAAATGCTCGCACGCTAGACTTCTGAAGAGTCCCACAATGGGACGAAACGGTCGTCCAGTGCTTCCAGGTCCAGCTTCAATTGACTCATGATCTTAACTATTAAAATTTTATATTTTACCAAAATCTAAAATATGATTACAGAAAATGACTGAAGGTGGATCAGTTCACTAGAAAATCACCTTAATTTTTAAAAAATTAAATCTAATATACAGTTATCATTATGTTAGTAAATCATATTCTATTTAGTGAAATCTAATAAGTGTTTTAATGCGAACATATATGAGACGTATCCAGTAACTCTAGTAAACTTGCCTCTTTGTTGAAGAAAATGATATGCAATTGTAAGATTATCTGTACATAAAAAAAGTGGAAATGAATTTTCATTTAAATTTATCTTTTTGTCTATAAAATGCAAATTTTGTAAACGATTTCATAACTTGATATTCATTGTGTATTGAATATAGTCTAATTCAACAATGTACAATTAAGCATGGAAACAAACTAGATTAGAAGGTGACGTGAATTTTTCAATGTTATAAATTATGTAGATGGGATTAGTTTTTAGTGGCCTGGGATCTGACTCCAGTTATGTCACATGTTTGATTGTTATTAAAATATACATTTCGTCAATGGTCGTATATAATTATCGACTTAATCCGCGTTAGTTAATAACGGAATTGAATAAGTCAAATGCGATAATGGATGTTTGAATACCTATATTTTGTGCACTCGTTGGTCGGAACAGATAATCTTAGAATCGTAACGAATGAAGCGAAGAAGAGAGAACGAAGCGAAGCAAAAGGACTCACAGTGGATAAGGCGTGCGAGCGTTAATCAATATTTATAGTCACATAAAAATAAGTTACAAGTATATAATGAATAAGATAAGAAGTACATACACATATGCTCGTATAAAAATAGTCAGTGAATAATTTGACATGGTCAAAACGTGACTCAAGAAGAATGGATAAACTGGCCTGTCCAGAAGCTAGAATAAGGTATATGGGCTTAACTAAGTAACCGACACTACAAGTTAGTTTTCTGGATAAGACAAATTTTTGGAAAATGGAGAAACAGTAATTTTACTCTTGTTCATTGTACATTTTCAAAACATCATCGTCATCCTTTTGAAGAGTTCAAAGAAAAAAAATCATGGTATCAAACTTTACCATTTGATTGGCAAAAACTTGGTGTTTTACTCTTAAACATCAAAACCCTTTTCTCTATAAACTTGATGTTATATAAAGTTTTATGAATTTAAGAACGAATTCTAGTGACATCGATATCACCAAAAGTAGTATATATACATTTAGGCTAATATTTTTTTCTAATTTCAAAACGTCTTAGCAGTGGACACTAATGAGAACTCACTTATTCGATTGCAAGATTTCATAGTGACAATTACATCTATTTTAAGTATCCTAACTTTATGTTGAATCAAAACTCTTAACTGATTTGGGTGCCGAGGTTATGTAAGATATTAAAGATGAAGAATGTAGTTGTAAAATCTCAGCGAAATATGTAGATTTGTCACACATAAATAATACAAGTACAATGGGAGTGAATTATCAAATGCATACAGGAAAGTCAATTACGTTAGACAAAAATAACTTCTTAGCAACTAAGTAAATCATAATTTCTTGTCAAAATTGTGCAGTCTATTGTATTTCATCGTTATTATTTTGCGATGAATGGAATAGATATTACTAATGACACTAGATGCTCATCTCACCAGCTCACAAATATACGGAAATATAAACCATTGTATTTGAATTCATTGTTATAATTGTCAGACTTTCACCATTAGATCTAATGCTCCAAAATTCGATTACTGGTAGGGCTGCAGGGCACAAATCGCTGATGAGTCACAAAATATCTTAAAAATAGTTCTTTACTGCTCCCAAAAAACTCGGTAATCAACAACAAATATACTTTAAACCTTAAACTCATATCAACAACCATCCAAGTAAACACGTTTATTTTATTTTCATAAACTTTAACTAGAAAAGTATGCTTAACATTGTAATAAAATTAAATTTCAACGATGGAGAATCGTTTCATATCGAAAATATTCAATTATCAATTTATGGTTTCAGTATTGACTAAATAATATGGATAATGACAGTTAATTTAAAGAAAAAGAACAGTATAATATCAAATTACAATCGACAGATGAAAAGTTTTCCAAAAAAGAAGTATTCATTTTTGTTTTTATTAATGGTAATCTGAGAAAGCCAGAAAGAAATATATTTGAATGCATCTTATAAATTTAATAGAATATATATGTATTTAAGTTAACATAGAATTTAGGACTACCATTCCAAACTATTTGTGACGTGTTAGCTGACTATACTATATTCCAACGATTGTATTCATATTGGCACTCATACCTAGTAATATTTACCTTAAACGGCAATGAGTTAACCACCGAACTACTGAATTCGGGTAAACACTAGTTTGTTTAACCTGTATGATGCGTATATTAGTAAGGATTTGCATTATATCGTTGTTAATGTTTGGAACTGAATTTCAATCATTCTGTTTTAATACATACATTGTGTACGAATCACTTCCGTATGACCAGTTTGTAACAAGCTTTGTACGGTCAGTATGTAACATGACGGTAGTTGAAGAGGTGGCTAATAGGTCCGAGTCCTGCTCAAATATAGATACATCTGGCTGATGAGACCAAAAAGTGGTGAAATTTGAGTATTTGAATCAAGTACTAGCCACGAATCATCCAGTTTGAAATTTTTGTGACAAAATGGATTTACTGAAGCGATCCGCAGAGCATGTACGCATGTCAGCGAAGAATAAGCGGAATTTAATATTGATTATCATAGTTGAAATAATTCAGACCTTTATAAACAATGATTCATCATGTATTTGTTTGAAGTTTACAATTTGATGTAATGTCGAACATCATTTGAAAAGGAACTTGTGGAATGCTTGCAAAATATCTGTTTGATAATCGACTATAGTATCAAGCACTACTCATTTGACTGCAGTCAATGTTCAATGAGGTCTAAATAATGTCCCTATTACATTTTGAAGTGGCAAATGAATTTAACTAGGTCGCTTGTAAATTGTTTGAATCAGTTTATTTTGTCATTATGCTATTACAATGAAACCACATTCCAACGCCATATAAATGTCATTTTCACTAAATTACACTAAGTATATTTCTATTATGTACATAACTGAACCTAAAGAAGGTCATAAGTGGCATGTCATATCCAGTAACTCACAAGATTCGTTTGAAAAGTTTATCTATATTCTAGACTATCAAAGTTCGAATACATACTATAAGTTTACATTACAGAATGCTTTTAACTAGAAAAACATTTGAAAATCTGAAATCGTTCAACAAGCATTTTGTCTGAGTACGAGTCTCTTGAGTGGCGTGCATCGATGACTCAACCAGAGGTTGGATTCAGGCTCTTCTGATAACTCAGTGAACGTTTAAATTCTAAACCACCTAACTTGGGATTTCTAGCCTGTCAGTTTATAATTTTGCGAGACCGTTGCATTGGTACTACTTGTCTTACGCTTGGTATGGATGAACTCTACTAGTCACGACTTCTCGTTGGAGCTCTGAAAGCTAGCTCTGAAAGTTAGTCGGCAGCAAGTACATGATAAGTGATTACTATGAGTGGTTGCGGATGTTGATGTATATTGAAATTTCATGGCACAGACTAACTTTGAATTAATGACTTGATGTACTTTGGTTCAATTTTTTCATCTAGCGTTTTCACAAAGCCTTTTCAAAAATCAAAACTCCACATTTTTATGTAGATGTGTAATCATAAAAAGATGGTTAGAAATTGAACTTACGTCGTACATGCAAATGGCCTGAATTACTTAATACTGTACCTATTTCATTTCGTGCCATACATTCATACGCTCCAGAATCAGTTTCAAGTAAAGTTTCTATTACAAGGGATCCAGATCCTGTAAACAACAGATGTATAAAAGTGACAATCTGGTTAAGATCCTTTATTTCTTGAAAATATTTTTCTCAAGTAAGCATTAAATTTATGAGTATTATGATTTCATTTCATTTATTATTATGGTGTATTGAACTAAGATTTGCAAATCAGATAACTGTCCGATGAATAGAACCAAGTAACAACAGCTTTTAATATATTTTAACCATGATGATTGGTGATTAGCCACATTTTGAATATGATTCAGTAATAATGCAATATGATAAACACAAAAATATGTTCGATACATTTGAACGGTAAATGTAGCTACGTAACGTGAATCAGTAAGTATCAACAGGCGAAATGATCAAATACTTTCACATGTTACCACATATATTAACTGATTTGAAATATATATAGGAGTGTTTATATACCAAAAATTGACACGAAAATACTATTTTAATACCCTTTGCAATCATACTGTGTTTCATTATAAGCAGAGATAGATGGTGGTTAGCAGTGAAATCAAGGATGCTCGTCTCACCTTATTTGAGACTCATCACTCCGATGTGCCTGGATCCCAAAGTTAATATCCACTCCTGGACGCGAAAGCAGTACCATTCACTACAAATGCCACTGCGGTATCAGTTTAACTACTTAGTCCAGATAGCCACTAGTTTGTGTAATGAGATGAAGTTTAATTCATTTTTGTATTGGATGTTTATGTTTTTCTATTGACGTTTCGGACTGCAATAAATCAGCCTTCTTTCGGCATATGTGCATAATGTTCAGCTTGCCTCGATATTGCCTCAAGTCACCTGTGTTATAAGCTCGGAGTGAACATCATCTCTGGACTGAAGGTACATCCAATTGACTAGTCCTAAATAGCAAGAGATGTGCGTTCTAAATTCCACTGCTAGGCGCCATACATCTTTGCTTATAATGCATGTGACTCAAGACAATATCGAGGAAATCTGCACAAGACGCACACAAACCAGAAAGATATTGATCAATTACAGTTCGAAAGGTCAATGCGAAGATTCAAACAACCAATACAATAATGAATTATACTATGTTTCGATTTTTAGGTACTTCGTTAACATTGACAATGTCTTCATTCATGGGTATGCTTTTGTAATGATTTTATTTAGCTACATTTGGGTGAAAGAGACATATCAGAATTTTTATATTTTTGATTGTACACTTAATAACTTCTTTTATTCAGGGATTAGTAAAACGCAAGCAAGGATCAGCTTATCTATTTGGCATAATTTGAATTCAATTTTTAAAAGTTTCTGGTAAGTTCAATAGCTTCATTATATTTTCTGTATTATGAAATTTATCAATGGGAGTTGAGTTACTAAAATCACTCATAATTGAATCACTGGCCCCTTAATACTATTATCATGTTCCAGTGGTGAGTTTCATGAATTTAAACGTGACATCTCATATATGTAACTTGTAATTATCAGTTATTGAGACGTTTAACTCTAAGATGAGTTTGTGACATATAGGTGAAGAGACAAATTTATTTTCGACTGAAAGGATGAAAAAGACACGTAAAACTATTCAAGTGTAATAACTAAGTGAATGTGTCAGTCGATTAGTGAATAAAAATTTATCGAATAATTTTAGTGAGATGTATGATAACATTTAACAGTTGAAGAAATATTGAAAATTTCTTGTTCGGAAGCATAGACAGGAAATAATTATACAATTCTTATTATTATGGTTTAGTTTTATTCAAATTTAAGTAAGTTCGTGATATATCTAGACTAATAGTTTCTGCCATCATTGGCATGTAAATGAGTTTGATTGTGATTAACATCGTGAATATCAGCATCTACAGTTAATACTGGAAACGATTCTTTTCATAAACCCGTCGTTAGTGTTATTATGATCAACTGGTTAGAAATGTAAGCCAATATATTTTTGTTCAGCATTCTCAATGGATAGTTTTTGGGACTTAACCTAAACATCTAGGTTACAAGCGCACAGTTAGTTGATTACTACTAAGAGTACAATGTCATCTATTTCTAATCGCCTAGCTATGATCAAATTCTATAGATCAAGCTTCACTTCAGACACTAATCTCAATTACTTGGAATCTCGTGAACAAATTGAGGTATGATATGGTTAAATGTAGTAGACAGGTTACAAATCCCAATGGAAACAACAGTCCTTTTAAGATTATAAGTACCCCTTGCTTGCGAATGCCAACTAACATGAAATCTAGATCTAGCAGGGTTTCCAGTCAATCGATTTCAACCAACTAACACTAGTCACAAATTGAAATAAAACAGTGAAGAATCATTTACAATTTCTTTGTTTAGGATTAGTCAGTGATGAAGTTTTACTTCAAAGTGAACATTATCCACAGACTTAATGAAAAACGTATTTGTTTTAATCTAAAGTACACTAACAAGCATTTTCTAAATTATTTTCTATATTTTGTCTAGTACAATATTTTGGGAAGAAGTTAAGGATGATCAATTTGTAATTGTCTTTATGGATAATCAAAATATTAATCATGAAATAGAAAGTTATACAAACTGCATTTATGCCAAATGTAATCTAAATGCCTGGAAAAAATAATAGATCGTCCAAAGATTTTTGTTTTATGGAGTGCTGATGACATTCTTCAGGACAATAATGAAACGTTCATATTCGAGCATCCATTTTCTAGAATGTAACATAACCTTAAATCTAAATCCTTTTTATTCTAAAAGAAATCATACAATCAAAAATGTTTATAAACATAATTATTCAATACATTTTAAACAAGGTCTAAACTCACCAACAATTCGAAATCTTGGAAGACTTGTATCAATCAATTCAAATTGATCCTTTATCCAATAGACTGTTGCTTGAGGTTCAGCTGATACATCACATTGTAAATGTGTTGAATCACCAACTTGACTTATAGTTGCTGAAGGATCTTGATGAACTTTTGGAAATCCTCTTGGTGGAGCTAATTCATCAAAATAAACACATTATCAAGAGTTATTATGTACAGAAGAAATTAAATTACTTAAAACAATGATAAAGTCAATGTGAATAAATCTCTTTCATTCATCAGTAGTCAATCATAAATTAAGCAAAATAAATTAAGTTAAATGATAGAAAATGTCTTGTCTTTTCCAATGATAGTAACACTCAATTGATTTTAATATACAACTAAAAAATAAATAGGTTTTGATAACAGGTAAGCAAACATTATTGATTTCACAAAACCCAATCAATACTATTGCTGATACTACTTATAGTAACATTAATAGTAATACTAAAAGCGTTAAAATTTCATTTCCAATCCATATAGCATTTTTATTAGTCTACCGGTGTAATTGTTACTTTTAGTTTTTTGTATCTGATTATAACTGTACACAATATCTGTCGGCAAATGCCTAAAAAAATTTTTAAAATAATTATTTCACTTATGTAAATATGTTTAAATAGATCACTTATCAAATATAATGATTGAGCAAGTAAGTAAAATACAATCCATGTTGAACTAATGAAGTGCTTCCTTGACTTTTTTCCCGTTCCATGTTTTCTTTTTGTTTTTATTAGATTAATGGACGATAAAGTAATGTGTTATTGGTTTTTTTAAACTTTGAATGAACGATTGTACAGAAATGAAAAAGATAACTGGTCTGAAAATGTAGATTAATAACTTCTGCAGCGTTTAACATTTTAGATAAGTATAGGATGTTACTTACAAAAGTCCTTAGTAGTACATCCATATATATGATAAAAAAGATTGACAGAGCTTTGAGAGGAATTTCAAGGTCATAGTAAATAGCTCTAAGTGGTATTGCTAGAAAACATAATATGATTCGTGAATGGAATATGTGAACTAAAATTTTCTTAGGGCTCTTCTTGATTAAGAATATATTTGTAACAATTTTTATTTGAATAGATGGTCAAAAATAACATGTAGTTATATGTTGATTGTATTCTGTTTTAAAATGATTATGCATTTATATGTCCACAATAATTGATCATTTATTGTCCCGAGTATCAATAATAGAAAGGTACAAATCATTACAAAGGTCAGTAAACAAATTGCATGTTGGTGGTTGTAGTAATGTATCACTCTAATAAACGTCACATCGGCGTTCGAAATGGTAACTACTAGTTAGGAGTAACAATGTGGACATTAACACTGAGGTGAAGCTATGTGCATCTGGAAAGGATCAGACAGAACGAAATTCACTTGGTGAATTCCGTCGCTTCTCACTACATAAATATATAAACTGTCTAATGTATTGTATGAGATTGTATGTTCAATATCGTAACTAATTTATTTGTGTTTTGCAATAGGAGATGGATGTTTGTTATTCGCTTTCTTTTGCTCATTAAACTTCACATATATTTTGGCGATTGTTGGTGAAGAAAACATCTATGTTTTACTACGTGAATGATTGTGTTTACTGAGAGAGAGGGAGAAATGACAAGCTAAGGAAGTCATTTGTTTACCGAAATGACTTCAAGAAGAAATTGAGTCTGACAACTCAATAAAAGCAGATAACAAATGTCCATGTTTGTCCGTTGTTAACAATATGCTTATAATAATTAGTAAAACTAGTTCTAGCTCAGGCAATATGATTTCATTTTAAAAGAGTTGTTTTTCGGGTTTAATTAAGTTTGTTTACATTTTAGCCATAATGAACTTCGCCGATTTCTTTATGTTTTAAAGTAATTTGTTGTTTCCTTTTATTATTTTTGATTTTTAACCCCCGATTTCTTTAGCTGTACCTTTCCTTTGTGATATGCAAATATTTTAACCAGTATTATAATTAAATTAATCGAAATGTACTGCGACTATATATTGCACAAGTTTGATAAACTACATCTTCTCATTGGATTACCTATCTATCTATCTATCTATCCGTCTATTTATCTATCCCTCTATCTGTACATGTTATTACCGAACATGAGAGAAGATATGGATAAAGAGTTGTTGTTTTGTCAGACGAAATGAGAAGTAAAATAAAACAATAGATTAATTAAGTTTGGTTGCGCAGTTTGACTATAAGAATTTAATAAAGGATAAAATGTGTATAAAAATGATTATCAAAGTTATATATTTTTGTTTAATTGGATAGACAATTTGTTGGCAAAGCAGACGATAAATTAAGTAAAGGGGATTTTTCTAGGCATTTAAGAACACTTTAATGACGTGGATTACGTAATAAACTCTAAAACAGCGAACTAACTTATTCTAAATTATTGAAAAGTTACAGGAGAATAGTCATTTGGCATATATGGTATGACACGTTAGACGCTTAAGTAATACTATTCAAATCAAAACTTAGATTTCAGTTATAACTTTTATCATTATTTTCGAATAAGTTTGTAAAAAACAAGCCTTAGAAGACGTTAGTTCTTATATTGAGTGATAAGGACTTCATATAACTAGTTAGGATCCATTCATTACATCAATCATTTCGGTCATTGATTGAACTAGATCGATCATTTTTTCCAGTGTGGTCATTGAACCTGGTCCATCTTATGCCCATCAGAGCTTATTGATATAAACTACTTTCACTGAAAAGAAAATCCAATAAATATGTCTTATTGTTTAAAATCAATCAACATGAAACTTAGATTTGTGTCTTTCTAAGTAGTTTTATGTATTACTATGAAGCATTCGTCTTAAATAATTCAAACCATATATATGTAGATTTTTAGGTGTTTAAATTGAAATGAATATTCGGTGAGACTATAAATTATGTACGATCCTTGAGAGACGCCAAAGTGATCTTGAGTGTTTACCTGCTTAATAGGGCTAAATGAAGGTTATAAAGCAGTTTGAAGAATAAAGACAGTGATTTACAACTAAAATGCCAATGTGCTATTTGGGCCTGTTACCCTAAATCTGATTGGTTCGTCCATAAATTATAGTCTCGCCGAATATTCTTATTATTTAAATGATCAGCTAAAACTAAAAAAATCTTTACTACCAATTGGAGCTTGTTAAAGTTGTTGAATTTTCGTAGTTTACATCATCAATTGACCTTTGTTAGAAAACTGTTGAAAATTAGTTAGTAATTGGTAGTTTAGTATGAGAATTCTAAGTAATGTGTATCCACCACCAAGGACCTTCATAAGTCCATTCGACCACTTTTCCTTCAAACTACTGAGACTCTATCTAGTAGTGTGTATTCTAGTTCAAATACCTCTCGATTCAATTGATAGTTACCTGTATTATATTAAACAATATTTTGTGATCCACTGACCATAACTTCTTATTCGAACACAGAGGATAATCCATCAGAATTAGTCATCGGTTAACATATATATATATATATATATATATATATATATATATATATATATATATATATATATATATATATATATATATATATATATATATATATATATATATATATATATATATATTCTTATTATGATAGATTAGACTATAATATAAACGATTCAAATCTTCAATATTGTCATGAAAACTACAGGAAATTTTAATGTTCATGATTTTCTCTCTTACTTTCTCTACTTCTCTTTGATAAGTTTCAGCTTTTTATTATTCTATTTTATTTATTTTTTTAAAAAAAATATGTTTTTATGTACACGATTTGTTTCCCAGAGCATAAATTGACCTTTTTCTTTCCAGTTCATTAACAAAGATAATAATAATAACAATAATGTAGAGTAAAAGAATAAAGATATGAATAATAACAGTTTATGATGATTCTTATTTTGGTATTGTTGCTATAGTTGTACTCTTTCTACTCTTTTCTTTCATTTTTTTTTCATTTCACTTATTTTAATATTAGAAAAGTTCAACTATTCCTTTTTATTCAACATTTATGTATCGCTTTTTTTGTTGTTTGTTTTGAATTAAACACTAACAACAATAATAATAACAACAAAAAATCCACATGAATAACTTCTAACTGTTTATTTCTTTGTTTATTTTTTCTCTCTCTCCCTCTCCCCCTCTCTTTTTTTAGAATGAAAATATCTGTTGAGTAAAGGTTACTTCTGTTTTCTTATTGATTAGTTACATTTTTTTTGGCTATGTGTTATAGGGAATTGTGAAGTTTTCATCATGGACTGACCTCAGTTAGACAACTGTTGAAAATCAGAAAGCAATAGACTGATAGTTTATTCTAGTATAATACTCAGTATTTTGTTTTTTTTACACCCTCAACCCAACTGGAGATCTAACTCATGACCTTTAAGTTGTTTGAATAAAATTAGTCCGTAGTGTAAATTGTGAAAATACAATTGCATCCACAAATTACTTTTGCAACAGTTTTCATTTATTTACTGATGATTGATGTGAATCAGTTACTTATAGACGGTTTAGGAAAATGGTTGAGTGATATCACGAAATGAAAGAGGTTAGATATGAATATCAGCACTAATGAAGAGAGAGACGAAGAATTTAGTATCAATCACTATTGTGAGAGTGGATCTGCAGTGCTAAGGAATTCCATACTAGGACGAAAATGCTATTGGTGATGCCAGGTTTTCAGTGGTTATCTAACTATGATCAGATAGTTATGTAAACTAACTGCTTTTCTCCTTCTTTCCTCATTCTTTAGAAATAACTATTTTTACTAACTTTTTTCAATATTCAATCGACCATGTATGAATGTAACATACAGGGAATAAATTACTACTTATTTATGATTTTCAGCCCAAAAACGGTGTCTGTTTAACATATAGTTATTTTTCAGACATGAAGACAAATATTTTTGATGAAATTAAAATCATAATTTGAAGTTGAAATAATTTCAACCGTCATTCAGATATCTAATATTGAGCAGCCTAAAGACAGGACAAATTTTACGCACAGATGATGAAAGTTAAATTATGAAAATGTTGACAGAAATTCCGTAATGATAGACAATATCTGTAACAAAACAAATAGTATATTTTCATTCAACAGATAAACTGAAATATTAGGAAAGATTTATAAAAAGTATATTTAGTTTAGTCATC